AAAATCATGATTCAAACTCAGATTTGTAAGAGGAGGCTATACATTAAGGAATATGGACCCTGAAGCAAGAACCCGTGCTCAAATCTGGGCTACACCTACTGTTTGACTTCAGATAATTGTATTAACTCTGGGTCTCGGTGTTCTCAGGTGCGAAATCGGGCGAATCATAGTACCTATCTGAAAGGGTTCTTGTGAGGAGTAAAAAAATTGATTCCTGTACTTAGAATAAATGCCTGACACACAACTGGTGCTTAATAAATAATAGCCATTACAACTGAGGATCAAAAACCTCTTCTATAAATATAGCCATTGGGACCAGCAGTTAGCATAATAGCCATGTTGCTGGACTCCCATGTAGCCGACCACAGTTCGAGTCCCAGACCCGGTGGCTTAAACTCACGCTGGGCGGGTGTGCGTGCATGTCCAAGATCCCAAGAGGAAAATGGAGGAGAAGGGATTGTGGTATGGCCATCCCCCCTGGGGGGTGATTTCTCGCTTTCTGTCTCTCTGTCTCTGTCTGTCTGGCGAGCGCATGTACCCTATAGCAAAAACCTCTCCCCCCCCAAAAAAAATTAAATGAATAAATAAAGCCATTAAAATGAAGCACCAACATCCTCTTAACTAGCTTCTTTGTCTTAGTCTAGGGAAATTAATGAATATAATACCTAACAGGCCTGCAGACTTTTGGGGTGGAGGGGGGGCAGCTTACAACACGAATTTTCACTGTTATTGAAGTGCTTCTCACTGCCAAGGCTATCAGCTCAGAAGAGTCCTTTTCTCTGAGTGCTTTTCTCTGTTTCTTTCACTTTCCCCATGTGTCTCACAAATGGACAGCCCAAAATGACCTTTCCGTTGCCTGCCAATCAGAACTCTCCCTTTGTCACCATGAAGTGAACTGATCACAACTCACACATCTTTGGGTTTTCAGATCTTACAGCTTCTTAATTTGTTTCAAGGTTTCTCTAATCTTATGCCATTTTGGAAAAGGGAGAGTTCTAGAAAGCTGGTTTCCATTCCCTCAACACATCTATATTGAGTATACACCATATGAAAATATATTTTAACTGACTTTAAAAATTAAATGGAAACCTTATCTCAAACCTTGACAGTAAGAGCAATATATGCACATAAAATGTTCAGGAGCAGTGTACTGTTTCATCTTAAACAACTGATGAAGGTATTTTGTGGATTTGAAAATGCACTTCTTGAAAGCAGTCATAAAGCATCACATTAAGGTGACTCTAAATGAAAAATTGCTATTAGAATTGAAAATGACAATGCAAATTTGATATAAAACAGAAACGAAAGCTTGTTCTAGCAACAGTTTAGAATGTTGCTTAAAAGAAATAAATCACTAGCCTCATACAGCTCTTTGAAATAATTGTGTCTTGACAGCTGTGTCATTTGAATTAAAACAAGCAAGGGATAGGAGATAGGTTCTTATACTCTCTTTGGAACGGGTGGTTGTTTTAACAGTAGATAGATGGCAGTAGACACTAATTTGGTAGAGAAAACTAAAGG